TTAATTATGTAAATCTTTGAAAATTTGATGGAAATGGAAAATGTTGAGGAAAATCTCACAAGACAAAATGAAATGTTGAATTTGATATTTCAAAGGCATTTTCTTCAGTTTATAATGCTCACAACTATTTATTTATTTAAACTATCAGGAGAACTATAGAATTATTAAAACTCTTTATTTCCTTTTTCTTTCTTTAAAATCAAATTTTTGAAATTATTTTTAAAAAGTGAAAAAATCATATCTGCAAAGTTTTAATCCTAAATTTCCATTTGTTTAAATAAAACATGAGTAAATTCACTCAATTATAGATAGGTATTTAGAACTCAATTTAATTCTTTAACTGCCCAATTAAATATTTCTCTGATTCTAATCAAATTAAATTAATTTTTTGACTATGTCAAACTTTTTATGATATGGTCAATTATTATACTTGGCTAGCATGTGAATGATTATTATACTTGGGAACAAGTTCCTTTGAAGCTGTGAATTAAATTTACTTTTTGCACTTAACGCTGATAAAAGGTGAAATGACACACACACACACACACATACATATATATACAAAAGAGGGAAAATATGGAAAATACCGTTCCACCAGCTTTTTATAAAAATTCTCATATTATTTTCACAGAACAAATTTCACTGTACAAATATGGTGCAATGCAACTATTGAATGACAGACTGATCCTACCACAAAAATTCTATTTTATTTGAAAGTGGTTGCTAAAAAAAGCAAAGAATCGTCGAGTTTTATTGCACACGTATGCTTTTCAACAAGCTTGCTTCGCTGCGCTCGAAATCAAATCAACTGGTTAATTAATGAAGTGAAATATCGAGAAGCATTCTCGATATACGTCGAAACTAAATAACTCGCGCATGTTACTTGTCCGTAATTGGTTAGTAAATTTATTTGATAGCACGTAGGATTTCTCCTCGCTTTTCAAAACACAATTGCTTACTCATTAACGCGATGGTTATCTATTTTTTACAATCAAACCGTAAATAAATTCGACTGAGCTGATCTTTAAGAAATTCAGCATTATCTTTTGCGGTGCATAGCTCGATGTTAAATTTGAAAAATATGTATGAGAAACATTATTTTGCAAGTAATGCATGTTCTGAATTTCAATGTGACATGAAAAATAGAATTTTCGTATTTGTCATTCATAGAGTTATTTCCAAGCTTGAAATCTAAATATGAACATTTTTCAAACAATTGGCTCTGACGTAATTCCCCGTTTATGCTTCCTTCAATATATTTTAATAAACCAATAATCATTTTTAAAAATTTAGAAAACGATCGAAATACGAGTTAAAGTAAAGTATATATGCTTTTTAATCAATTGTGAAATAAAGTATTATTTACAAAAAAATTAAAAAAATAAATACAAAGTAAATTTTTATTTCTGTCAAAATCATTTTAAACGCAACATTTTTATTCTGCATCTTCTAACATAGAATAATAAAAAATCTCATAATAAATGGTAAAAAAAAGCAGATTTAAAGAAGTAGAAATAGAATTTATATCAAAATAATACGTACCATGTCTATAATTATAAAACTATAATTATAAAATTACCCCCCCCCCCACGTTTATTTTACAATTTTATTCGTCTAATATTGACTAATTATGAAATAAGTATCATAATAAAATTACTATTATGTAGATAGGATAAACGTCTTACGCCATAGTCACACATATTTCAGTTCAATAATACATTATTATAAAATTTAAAAACGAAATTCTTTTAGTTTTTAATGTAACATTATAATAAAAATATTTAATTAAAAATATTTAAATGAAAAATTTAAAATAAAAGGATGTCGTTATAAATTTTATAAATATATATAAATGATATTTGCATAGGTAATGTAAATTTTTTTCAACGATAATCCGTTTTTTATTTTATAGAATCTAAATATGATTTTATCTCGAATTTTTAAAATCTTTCAACTATTAATATTTTATTAATATGTTTAATATTTAAATAAAATTTAAAAAATTAATCCTATAAAATTTGATTAACAATTTATTAATTTTACTGTTTCCAATAAGAAGTATAATATTTAAAAATACAATTTTAAAAAATTATACATTTGAATAAATAAAATAAATCCATCGATAATTATTAGAAATTATACTTTTCATCACATCATTAACTTTTACATTACTTTTGCATGGATCATTGATATATAAATCTTTTTATTCATGTATTTAATATTATAAATGTATTAAAAAATCTATGAGAAATCCGATTTTATCACTACTATATTAATTTTCAGCTGTTTTATTATCGGTATTATTTTGCTCATTTACTCATCCTTTTTCATCCTTTCGCTCATTTAAAATATTAATATTAAAATCATATTATTAAAATCTAATATTAAAATCCTATTATTTTTTCCTCTTCGATGTATATATGTGTATATATTTATATGAAAAGCGAACAGAAGCATGTGTATCACCGAATAATATAACGTAACATGATGTAAAAGTTCATTAATACAACACAAGTTCAATACAACTAATTAATAATATTATAATTATAATAACTAAAAAATGTATTCTTAATGATTATGTTTTACTCACTGATTTCGAATCTTCGTCACGCAATACGAAGCTACCAGTTTCCTTATTTGTATATCACTGTCCATTTTGTGAGAATCTTCCATACGTAGCGATCGAGACTCCTGTCTGGAGTAAAATGCGCGAAAACGCGTAATAATCGTGACCGCGACCTTCCCAGGATAAACAAGTAGTAGGGGGTAGCCCGTGACGTCACGGCACGTTTAGAATTATACGACTCGAAAGATACTTCACTCCAAAGATTTGTTTAATCAATTAGGGAGCAAAGAGTTCTTTGCCCTGATTGGTTAATTAAATAATTCGGAAAATAATGATTAATTAAACAATTTGAAATGTCAATTGAATAAAGCAAAAATGTAATATGCAATAGTAAATGTAATATACAATTATATAAGGTAATTTAAATGTATAAATATAATATAATGTCATAATTATAATATTATAATATTATTATATATGAATAAAATATAATAATAGCATTAATTAATTCCGGCAGATATACAATTGTAAATCTATTTTAGACATGTGTTTTCTTTCTCTCTCCCTCTCCCTCCCTCTCTCTCTCCCTCCCTTCCTCCCTCCCTTCCTCCCTCTCACTCTCTCTCTTCCTCTCTCTCTCTCCCTCTTTCTTTATATTCTACCTTTGTTTTTTCTCTATTTATCTCTATAGACTGAACATATATATACATGTGTTTTAAATGTGGCAAGAAAGCACAGTCAAAAGAAACAACCTATACCATAATAATGTTTTGTTTTGCTACCCGTCTTGTCGGTGACTGGGAGTGTGTCGAGCGCTTGTTTTTGTGTTACGTAATCACACATCTCGAGTTTAGTTCGTAGTTCTATTTGAACAAGATCGGTTCGTATTTTCCCTTCAGAGTAAAACTAGCAAATTAAGGGCGAAAATATCGAAAGGTTAACGGCAATTAATGTAATGTATTATTTAATACATGTAACTCTAATAATTAGAGTCGATACTTGTCGAAATAATTTCGTGATTAAATATCTATAACAATGTAATCGCACAAAGTCACCTTATTATTTAATTTATTCCGTTAGATACTGTCGCGCTACAGATTTTTGTGCGCCATATTTCGCGAGAAAACAATGACGTATAATCGAACGATTATTGTTGTATCATTCCAAAATACGAATCGATATCGTTCTCCATGTTCATTGCTTTATACATATATATACCATACATACACAGATACACACTATGGTGTCATTATGTTAATGAATAATAAAACAATAATAAATAAAATAATGTATCACTATATTAAATATAAATGAGGCAAATAAATAAATACTCACCAATTAAAGTCATCCTGTTGCTATTGTTTCTTTGTCCAACACACACATTTTCCAACACACACTTTTTCCAACACACACATTAATCCGAAATCAATTTCAATCGCGCACGTTAATTAATCGTCACTTTGGAGACACGAAAATGCGGAGCGATTACGACCTGAATCTTTCAGAACGACGCGAAATGATATGAAATGACCGAAAAGTTTACTCGAAAAGTTTCAAGAATAAAATCCACGTATGAAACATTGAGAATGTCAAGAAATATGACGGGCAAATAATACGCGTTATAAATAATCACATCGTTTGTTACCTAGGTCTCTATAAAATCGTATCGAGGCTACTTTATAATTTAATTCGATGAAATATATTTATTCGTATTTGTAACCGACGAAAGAAACCGAGAAAAACTAATAATACATAGATACATTAAAACATAGATGCATTGCAATTAGTTTATTTCGAGTGGTTTGATTGACATAGGGAATATAGGGACAAAAAATTTCTGCCCAATTGGTTAATTACTCTTGTCGAGTGAAGTATCTTCCGATATCATATAATCCTAGCCGCGTCATTACGTCACAGGAGATTAGGCGTTGTATCGGTAGAGGGGAGGAGGGTCGCAGTTGCTACGCATTTCGTCGCCATTTTCGCGGTCAGAGTCGGAGTTACTGTGCATTTCGTGCCACTTTTCGCGGTAAGAGCCGCGGTTGTTGTGTATTTTTGTGCTTTTTGTGAAATTCGTGAAATTCGAGTGTTGACCAATATCGGGAGTGTCGAAAAATAGGAATAGTTGGAATAAACAATCGTTTATTCGAAGTATCAAATATCGGGTACGCATCGTTCGTTAATTTTAATGGCGTCGTACCGAGACTTTCTTTGTGCAAATAATCGGTTAGCTCGAATATACATTTTCGTTCACATTTATATGTGAGTTAAAGCTCGCGAGGAAACAATGACATAATTTAACAGTTTATATCACGTAATCCGCTTATATCGGTCATTTCATATCATTTTGCGTCGTTCTGAAAGATTCAGGTCGTGATCGCTCCCCATTTTCGTGTCTCCAAAGTGACGATTAATTAACGTGCGCGATTGAAATTGATTTCGGATTAATGTGTGTGTTGGAAAAAGTGTGTGTTGGAAAATGTGTGTGTTGGACAAAGAAACAATAGCAACAGGATGACTTTAATTGGTGAGTATTTATTTATTTGCCTCATTTATATTTAATATAGTGATACATTATTTTATTTATTATCGTTTTATTATTCATTAACATAATGACACCATAGTGTGTGTCTGTGTATGTATGGTATATATATGTATATATGTTTAGGATAATTGCATTAAAATAATTTCTTTTTTTTTAATTGAATTCAAATAATTTCTATTCTGCACAATATTCAATAGACTTATCTTTTTTTTGTATTTTTTATTAGCTCTTTATTTTTTACAACATATATAAAGATAATAAAAAATGATATCAAATAAAGCAGAGAAACATATATAAAAATAATTAAAAAATAATATCAAGTAAATGAAAAAAATATATAAAGATAATTTAAAAATAGTAAAAATAATATTAAATAAACAAAAGAAATTACAAAAATCAGATTTGTATGTATAAAAGCAATCCTTAGAATAAGTTTTTCAAGTGAATAATACTCTATTGTAATTTCTAATTAATTTTAAAACTACTAAAACTTATAATGTGTGTACGTGTATGTATTAACTATGTAATACTGATACATAATATAGATTTTTAAAATATTTTAATATTTTTTTTACAGTTATGAGGCTGTTCGAAGATGCTCTATACGTTGCAACTATACATTGTGGTAGCAGAACTTACATCGTAGCAGGTCGATGATTTGGTAAGTGATTATTTTATTGTTTTTTTACAGTAGTTGAGTAGCTTGTGTCATTTTTTCATTAAAATCTTGATATAAATCTTGATATAAATTATTATATAAATATGATATAAATAATATAACAGAAATATAATAATATAATATAAATATGTAATATAAATATAATATAAAAATGATACAAACTTTTTGTCCTATATAGATGGTCTGATAATAAAAGTAAGCACTGATCATATGTGTGCAATTTTGAAGTCACTTGTATTTTGAAGTCTTATATACATAAGAGAGAGGAGCCATGCAAGCGTGTTGTCTTCCACTGATCAGAGTTTGACAAGCAAATGAAATGGCCAATATAAATTAATTCAAGTTCGAGATTCATGCAGTTACCAGATTTTTGTAGACATGTGAATGAGAATGAGATTCATTATTAGACTAATTGAATGTTTATAGTCAGAATGTCTTAAAGAGAAAAAAAGTGTATATATAGTGCAACAAATTCAAAGATGAGTGAACAGGCATATCTTTCAAATTCAAAGCTGTATTTTCGATTATTTTTGAATTTATTACATGCAGATTTTTTTCAGTTTAAAACAATATAAACATTTACTAAATTAAAAACTGAATCTCAAATTCTGATTTATGTCTTTTTAAACAATCTGATAACTACGCACACGTCGAACGTGGAATAATTTTTAATCATTCCGAACATTTTGTTCGTTTGCTAAGCTCTTATCAGTGGATGGAAGATAACGCTTGCATGACTATTACTCTCCCCAATGTTACAATGCATGATTTCGAGGGGTTGCTTGTACAGATCATGTATAATCACACACAATATCTATATCTTTATTATCGGACCGCCCTTGCATGTATATATGTATAATGTATATGTGTTTTTTTTCCTTTTTTTTCAATTATTTGTCTGCGAGATTCCACGAAGCTTATTGAAAAAATTTTATTCTCCTATTAATATGTAAAACCTTTATTCTTTTATTAATATATAAATGTTGCGATAATTATAAATATATTAATGCTCAACTAAAAAATTCATGATTTAGTCTTTTTAATCAAATTTTAATTTGATTTTTGATTCATGATATGTAAATATTATTAAGTTATATGTGCATGTGCATATGAATCCTGCACCGTTTTAATTTTTACGAAATCCTTGAATTTGTTATATGAATTATATAAATAATTCCGCTAAATATGAAAAATATTTTACTAACGGCATTTTTTGATAATCCAGCACAATGATATGGTATAGTAGCAGTTATATAAAAGCTTTACGTACCATTCATTCGACATCACGATTCAGCATCATTATTGGAAATTCGAAACCAATAAACTGTCGATAATCGTTGGTTTTCGCGCTTGCGCGATATTTCGACGTTAACTTTGTTGACTTGGGAACAAAAGCGGGTACGGTTACGATTCGGCGTATATAACGGCGTATTATGGTTATCGCTAATTAGCTCGTACGGTATATTACACGCGGTAGCGACGGAAATTTTATTTTAACGTGATTGCGCACATCGCGCGGGCGTTGCCGGCGTGATTCATGCGCCAGAGTGAAAATAATTTGTGGTACCGGAGCAACGCGATTGCGATTGTAATTGCTCGCGCGTATCCCCGGTATATGAAGTCATACGTTTTGAATGTCCCCATAAAGCAGTTATATTAAATTGAGAGGAATCGGACTCTATACTTGTCTCGCTCTCTCTTTCTCTCTCTCTCTTTTTCCCTGCCTTCATCTCTCGATCGATCTCATCCTCTGAAATTCATCTGGCGCTCGTCGAGATTCTCCTCGCGCAGTTTTTTTCGCGCGCTCTTTACACGCGGTCGCGTTCTTTCAATTTGCTATCGAAATTCTGCAAATTCGTCGCAAATTTGGACGTGAGCCAAAAATATTCAGGCTTCCATCGACATCGATATAACTATCGCCGTTGGTAACGAACGTTATGCGCCACCGGCCGAAAAGTTATAACGACGTGATCGTTTTTTCTAATGAAAAGTTTTCGAACGTTTTGCGCAAATTTGCATTTATGAAATTTTCGCGGAAGTAAAATTCCTCTCTGGAAGTTGAACGATCTAGGAAACATTACAGCAGGATAATTAATTCTTGTAATATTTTATGTAGTAAAATAATATTCCTAGTTTCATTAAAGTATATATAAATGCCTTATAAAATAAAACAATTTATTCATAATTTTATAGAAATTATAGATCATACTTGGGAAAAACAGCTTATCGTCATAATTATGTTATAACGGATTCTATTTAATCAACTTGAAACTTATGCAATTATATAAGAATAACTATAATAATTTTATTCTAATTATTTTCGTATTCAACGATACTTTTAATTGGCTCTTGTAAATCTTTCTAATGAATCTTAAACAAAATTCGAATATTTTGCTCTTATGCTCACTGCTTGAGCTTTCTGCCCATTTCATTTTCTACAATTTCTCTCTCGAATAATTGCACTACTGCATTTAATGATTCTTGTTCTTTTAATTGCAATGGGTTTTATATTACATTGAGTGCGCATAGTTTTTTTATTTATAGAGAGCCATTAAAATGCCCCCCCCCCTCCGCTCTCTCGCTCTGTCTTTTTTCTTTGGCCATATTATTAAAACGTTGGCCTGTTTTTGCCTTTTTTCCTTTATTCGACGAATGAGCGAAAGGCAACATTTGCGAATTAATCGCGAAATTCATCGTACGAGCGGCAAAGGCGGTGGTATATTATTCTCAACTCGTTTATCTCGGAGCGCCGCAAACCTTGACGAGATGCAGCATCTCTTTCGCGTTCTCTTTCTCCTGTTTGCTATCGTAAATGCGTGAAACGCCGCTTTTGTTGATCCGTACGTCCGCAAAGAAACGAGCCCACGGCGCGTTGCGGATTAAAGCGCGGAAACGCTATTCTGACATCTTTCTTGACTCCGCTTTGTCCTATGCGGCAGAAGCTTTGCGTGCTTTCATGCGGATCCTGACAGAAAGAGAAAGAGAAAAAGAGAGAGAGAGAGAAATAGAGACAGAGAGAGAGAGAGAGGGAGGGAGAGAGAGAGAGGAACCGAGACGTCTCGGGAAGCTGTTTAAAAGGACACAACGCGTTTGCCGCGCGTAATGAGGAGTGCCGTGCAAACTCTGACGAGAAATCGTTAGCGCTATTCTCGTTAGAACGGTTAAACTCGTAACGCAATTATTCCAGTTATGTACAAGATCTTGCTCGTTCGCAGTTCACATCGACTATGTTAACTCGCGCGCTGTCGTGTACGAAATCGAGCAACGTTCTTGTTGTCGTACGTCGCGTATTCGCGAATGAATGTCTCTGAGGATTCGTTTTGGTGAGATTGTTAAGGAGTTACCATAAGAAATTGCGATAATGAATCGAAACAAATATACACGACACGATGGCATACATAAGAATGTGAATGAGATGCTTTAAGGTAGAATTATATTATGTGCTAGCAAATATTAATTTTTTTAAAATTATTTAATATGCAAAAAAATTGCTATCTTTTTATGTTTTTTTTTTTTACTCCTCTTTCAATTATTTCTTTGTCACATTTAATCAGATAGAAATGTATTATATATAAGAGCATTCGCGATTCGTAATGAATTAGTATAGTACCGGCTAAGCTAAAAGGGTGAAAAACGTGTTTCTCAAGGATTACCCGGCGCTAATGGAAATTGGGGAGATTATGAGGACGCGCGGAGGACACTTTAAATATGTCCTTGTAGCTGCCACGACGGAAAATTTGTGTCGCTCTGCTCCCGCGATGCCGTCGTAACAGCCGCACCAACACTATCGTGCGACCGCGTGTATATGTATAGGCACACGTGTGAATGGTAGTCGGTCGTCTTAAGGTACAAACCCCGAAATTTATCGCCACTAAACACGACACCCCGAAAACCCGCTTCGCTCGCGAAATTGGGCGAGGATCCCGTAATACGTATCGCTAGGATCTTTGCGATATAGATGCTCTTTATTCGTATGCATGCTTTAATGTCAACGAGTTTAACCTTCTGACCGTAATTATAATACGAGATTGACCCGATTGTTCTGAGAATTATTCATAATGTTGACAAAGAGCGAATTTAATTCAATTATATTTGTTCTTTTAATTACTTTATACACAAATTTATTAAAATTATAATACAAAATCTTTATTCAGTGTATCTCTTCCTGTGTATTTGTACATATTTATTTTCCAATTCTTTTGAATTTAATTTATTATTAATCATTTTAATATTTTATAAAAATATAATTATTTTAATATTAATAATTTTAATAATATTATTAATAATTTATATTTAATAATTTTAATAATAAATCATTTTAATGTTAATTTAATAATATTAGTTTAATAAAATATATTTTCCAAATTAATAAATTGATAAATTGAATATATATTTTCGTTTTTTATCTCATTTTGTAATGTATGTAATGTATGTAAATATATACGACGATCGTTTAGCTGATCTTTGTATCACGAGTGAATTCAAAAGCAGGAAATAAAATATAATTGTCCAATATAACTATACACAAGCATTTAATCATAAATATATATTTAAAAATTGAAAAATTAATACAAAAATAAAATTTAACAATATATTGAAAGATGTAGAGTTATAGGATTTGAGAATGAATATATGTAGTTTGAAATAGATCTCTCTGAACAGAGAGAGAACAGCAGGATTAAGGACGTACATAATATCTTGTAATGAATGATACGTGATAAATTATATCTTATGAAGGTAAATGAGTAGAAGTTTATCTATCTCATTCGGTTGGCATTCGGTGTAAATGTTGTAAATGTTTAACTCGATACTTCATTAACGAGTTATCTAATATTGAACATTGAGCAAATAGGGTCGACAAAGGGTTAGCAAATAGGAGTCTCATACTAAAGTTACTTACTAAAGTTAACTTCTCACAGTTTTCTCCAATAATAGGATGTTGCTGCTTGTGTATGTTTTGCTTCTCATACTGCGCTTAACTG